CCCAACATCAATATCAAGCAACAACAATAACTAATTATTTCCATGCAAGTTCCAAATATGCTCGACCAAGTCCTGACGAAGCCCATGATGTGTTGGTGCAGCACGAAGCCTACTATTCCTAGCCAAGTACTCAGTTAGAGTTGGAATATCTCTGTTGACATTAGTTGGTTGTTGGTCGTGGATCTCATAATCAAGACTATCTTCCATCTCATCGTCAGAATCAACTTGCTCATCCTCGATTATCATGTTGTGCAATATAATGTATGTCAACATTATATCATTAATTGTGGCAACATCCCAAGATCTCGCAGGGCCACGAACGATTGCCCATCTAGCTTGAAGAATTCCAAAGGCCCGCTTTACGTCTTTTCGATGTGCTTCTTGACATCGAGCAAACAATGCTTCTATGTTTGAGCTTGGATTGCTGAATGTTTTCACTAAAGTTGACCATGAAGGATAAATACCACCAGCCAAATAATAACATTGATCATAGGTATGACCGTTTACCTCAAATCGTACTCGTGGAGCGGATCCGTTGAGGATACGGTCAAACACTAGAGACATCCCCAGAACATTGATGTCATTATTCGACCCAGGCGGGCCGAAGAAAGTATGCCATATCCAGGTGTTGTACGAAGCCACTGTCTCGAGAATGATTGTTGGTTTACGGTTGTGCCCCAGGTACTGCCCAGTCCAAGAAGTAGGACAATTCCTCCACTCCCAGTGCATGCAATCAATTGACCGAATCATACCAGGGAATTCGCGTTGTGAGGCTTTGTGAAGCAGAATACTTAGATCACAAGGAGTTGGTGCACGAAGGTATGTCGATGAGTACATCCCGACAATGGCTCTGCAAAACTTCCTGAAGACTTCCAGTACAGTGCTCTCACCCATTCGCACATAGTTATCAAGTTGATCAGCTGGAGAGCCATAAGCTAGCATGCGCAGGGCACTAGTAAGCTTTTGCTCCGGCGATAGGCCTAGGTGACCAACGGCATCACTCCTTCGAGCAAAAGAGGGATCATACCTCACAACATCACCCATTATGCGATTGAATAGTCATGGCTGCATACGAAAACGCCTTCTGAATATGCGGGCATCGTATGTTGGATTTGGATTGAAGTAATCCTGCATAAGGAGGTCATGACCTGAGACCCTTTCACGATCAATGTTGGTGCGACTTGTTGAACGACGACGTGAGGAGGAAGCTTCCTCAATCCTCCGCCCGATTAAAGTCAAACGGCGATAGTGAAATAGATCCAACTCTTCCATCTCTTCTTCTCCTCCAGACGATGAGTAATCTGAGGAACTCATGATAGATGTGTGTTTTTTAGAAATGTGGAGAAGTTTATGGATGTGTTTGATTTAGAAATTGGAGGAAGTTTCAGACAAGTATTGATTGATGAGCAAATGATGGATTTGTATTTATATCCGAACGGGCATCCAAACTTGTCTTACCTACCAATGAAATACCTAACATGTGCTACCTAACAGCCTTACCTACCAACGGGCAACGGTAACATCTAACGGTCAGATTCAAATGGTAACATCAAACGGTCATATTCGAACATGTGCTACCTACCATTGACATACCTAACACGTGCTACCTAACAGCCTTACCTACCAACGGTAACATCTAACAGTCATAAATTCTCTATATATTCAAACATCCTCTCAACTCTCTACATCTCATTCTTACTAAATTGAAATTTTCTGTCAACTTCATCACCCTTTCTATCATATTTCTCTCCCTAAAAACCAAACAATGACAAGCAAGAGAGGAGAGAATTGGAAAGTGGAGGAAGATAAGAACTTGTGCAATTCTTGGGTCATGATATCAGAAGATGGAGCTGTGGGCGTCAATCAACGAACTAGAAAGTTTTGGGATAGAGTGGCGGCGCAATATCGAGTCAACGATCGAAACTCATCTCGTACCATCAAAAGTATGTCTGGTCGAATGGGCACAATCACCAAATTCTGTAAGTGTTGGAATTCAGCTATCCAAAGGGCAGAGAGGAATCAACCAAGTGGCACGAATCAACAAGATGTGGTATGTATTCTGTCACTATTGCTGTTATTTTCTAACTCGCTCATTAGTACGTGTGTTCTATTTTCTAACTCCTTCTCCATCTCATTCATTCATACATATAGGAGTATATGCCAGAACAACTGTATTTAAGTGAGACCGGAGAGAAGGGTTGGAATATTGGTCATTGCTGGTGGATCTTGAAGAAATGCCAAAAATTCCATACTATTATAGCAATGCCGTCTTCACATCAAAACCTCATGAGTCAAGGTACTGATGGTTCTCCCATGAGTCAAGGTTATCAATCAACACCACAGACAGACCTCAATGACACAAAAGGAGATGAAGAAACTCCCCCCTTCGTCGGGGAAACTCCACCCTTCGTCGAAGATACTCCACCCTTCGTCATATCTCGCCCTGCTGGACGCGACAAACAGAAGGCGGCTAAGAAGAAAGGAAAGGGGGTTGATGAGTCATCAGAGAGATACACTGCTCAATTGCTGGAGTATGGAAGTGAGATGAAGGAGAGACATGCTTCGAGGACTGAGTATGAGCGAAAAAGGATGGAATTCTAAGAAAAAAAAATCAAAATGTGATCAAGAAAAGTGGGAAGTTGAGAAAAAAGAGAGGGAAACAACACTATTTCGGGACAACCTTGATCTTCTTGAAAAGAACTTGTCGAAGTTGACACAAAGAAAGAGGAGGTATTACAAAATTCAGCAAAACCGGATTCTAGGATATGATCAAGATAATCCCAACTCTGTTCCCAACTATTCATCCAACGCAAGTCAGACCGGAGGAGGAGATGAGAGTGGAGGAGGAGATGAAGGTGGAGGAGGAGGAGGAGATTACGCGAATTACTGTTCCATTCTGGGCGATTATTGACATGTTATGTGTTTCATCTTTATCATTTCAAGTGTTGTGTGTTATTTTTAAGCTTTATCATTAGCAAGTGTTGCGTGTAATCTCTAAGTTGTATCATTTAAATTATTATGTGAACTCCTTTACCTTTATCATTTTCAAGTGTTGTGTGTAAACCAAAATTAGGTCCATAATTTTTTCGCCAAAAAAAATTCGGTCTCGAAATTTGAAAAAATTCTATCGAAAAATTTGTATCTTAAAATAATGACGAACTATACAAAAATTAAGATTAACGAATTATATTAAGGCTTCGATAAGTGCATTTTTAAGTAAATGTAAACATGGATAAAATGGAGATCCCCAAATTTGAGGTTGGTAGCATTGGAGCCAAATTGTAAAAAATGAGGGCAATCCCCAAATTTGGGGTCTTGCATATTAGAGTTGGTCTAACCACTGGTTACTGATTTATCAGTAACTGCACGCACACCGTATATCTAGGGTGCGGATCCATCATGGGCTGGGCTGAATGCGGGGTCCATAAGGGCATTTTTGTCCATTTATAAATTTTAATTTTTATTATATTTCGATTTTAATGACTGCTTTTTCAAAAAAAAGACCACTTTTAATGGCTGTCTTTTCAAAGGAGGAGAGAGAATCATTTCTCTGCAACTCTCTTTTCTCTTTCTCCCTTCCTCCTCTTTCTTTTTTCTCTGCCAATCTCCTTTTCAGATCCTTTCTCTTTCTCTATTCCTTTTTTCTCTCCCAATCTCATTCTCCATATCTAGATCTGCTTCCTTATCTTCTTTTTCGTTTTTTTTCTCAAGCAATCGACGAAGAAAAATTGCAGCCACCCTCTTTCATTGTGTTTCTTCTCTTCATGAACTCGCTGGTCTCGATTTTGGTCTTTCTCCTTTTTTTGGCGTTTGGTGTTCTTGATTGCGGAGGAAATGAGACGAGATAGAAGACGAGTTTTTTTTCCTCTCCCTTCTTCTGTTTTTTTCTTTTAGGTAATATATATTGATATTAACATACTATACCATACGGTATTGTGTGGTAACGAAATATATATTGATATTACCACACTATACCATATGGTATTGTGTAGTAATGAAATATATATTGATATTACCGCACTATATCATATAGTATTATATGGTATTGAAATATATATTGATATTACCGCACTATACCATATAGTATTGTATGATATTGTGTGATATTAGCACACTATACCATATGGTATTGTGTGCTAATGAAATAAATATTGATATTATCACACTATACCATATGATATTGAGTGGTAACGAAATATATATTGATATTACCACACTATACCATATGGTATTGGGTGGTAACAAATTATATATTAATATTACCACACTATACCATATGGTATTGGGTGATAACGAAATATATATTGATGTGACAACTTTTTTCATACCATATGGTATGCTCTTATTTAATATCAGTCAATATCATATGGTACAGTCAATACCATATGCTCTTCAAAGTGGATATCATTTTGAAGAGCACAATTAATCTGATCTAACTGTGCAAAAAAATTAAATTCCGACTTATAACGAGTGAGAAATCGTTCGTTAAAGATTAAGAGAAGGAAAATTAAAGGTTTTTCGAGGAGAGAAAATGAGACGCTGATATGGTCCGGTCAAAAGTTAGCGTCAGTAATAAATAGGGGTAAATGCAATTTTACCTTACTGCTCTTTCGCATTTAATTTAAATAAAAAAGGGACTAATATATGGGGACATGAGAAGGATTACTCATGGGTTACTCACGGGTTACTCACCTGATCTGCTCCTATTAAGACTTAAGAGTAGCTTTCAGGCACTACTTCCACCAGGTCCAATGTTTCGTCCAGACGTTCACCCTTTCATAACGCCAACGTTTATTTCCATCCTTCCCGGACTGCTTGCATGTTCTGCTTCTTCCTCTTGTTCAAAAATCCAGAAAGCCAAAACAAATGAACGCCATAACCTAATAAATAATTCTAACTTAACGTCTGAGATTAATAAACACATAAAATTGAATGATTGATGTAACAAACTGAAAATCACCTTGTGCCGAACAGGTTCTGTGCGACTTAGGATCAATCTCCTCAAACAAGAACAGGGAATCCGCTCTACAAAAATTTATTTGTGTAGGGATTAGGATTTGGAAACGATTATGGTTTGGAACTAAAAAAATTGGAAAGAATATGAAGATTTTAGAGCACCTACAAGAATACTCCTTCGAGAATCTTCCTACCTAGTTTCTTGTTTGCACCTAAAATAAAATTGACTATATAATAGCCAGGATCTGAATCATCTCCTTGGGGCCACTTTGTTGTTCCATCTTCCATGAGATGCCGCAAATTTGCTTCTTTCATGGGATTTATGTCGGCAATCTCCCAAAATTATATCGCCGTTCAAAGTGATTTCTCCAAATTCCTCCGATTTGGCGTGAGAGGGAGAGGAGGCGAACAGATGGAGAGGGAAAGTGCTTTCAATTAGGTTTCCTCTGCTTGGGCTTCTGCATGGGTATAAGTGGTTGTACGGTTGGGATGAGGATAGAGATTTAATTTTCATTTTTTCATTAATTTCCCCCTTTCGTTTTCGTCAGGAACTAGTGATGAGGAATAGAAAGTTGCTTTTCAATTTGTTCCTTTCTTTATGAAGTTTTTTAGTATAAAGTATAAACCATGTATTTTGTTAAACTCAATTTTATTTAATTTAATCGTTCCTCACTTATACGGTATAATCAAAATCTTCATCAAAATATACACAAGTATAGTATAATTCAAAGTCTTCCTCCGCAAAGCAAATCAAGGTCGAAACTACACCATATAAAATAATTATAATTTTTTTTATGCAATCCATGTCATTATTCTCTCTTCACTATTTGTTAACGTATAGCTAAGTAACAAACACAGTATTTTGAGATCGTCTCTTGGAAAAATTTCGTAAGGACCCTAAAATATAACTCCAACAAGGTCGTCTAGGTGTTGTAGGTTAATAGGATGATATAGTGTATATATAGACAATTCAAAGTTTACTTCTATATAGGGCTGGGAAACGGTGCGGTCTGGTCCAGACCAGACCATATATACGGTCTATGGTCCAGATCGAGAGGCTGAAGTATAGACAACAGACCAGACCATAGACTATACGGTCCGGTCCAGACCACGCTTGTGCGGTCTGGTTCGGTCTGGTCTGGTCTGGTCTAGATAGACCACACTCAATGAAAAATGAACAATTTGTTTAGTCAACCATAAAAAAAATTGAACCAATAATCAAGAAAAATAATTATATTTTAGTACCTACATTTTCCCCTTACATTTTGGTACTTAAATTATTTCAAATTTACAAACAAGTCTACTACTTGTGGCATGCTGTAAAAACTTGTGGCATGCTTGAGGAAGTTGTGGCATGCTTTGTGGTTGTGACATTCTTTGAAGTTGTGGCATGCTTGGAATAGGTTGTGGTCTGGTTCATGGTCATCGTCCCTTCCTTCCACTACAAAAAAGAAGAGATTTGGGGACTAATATTAAGGGACAACTACTATATCTTGTCTTCGGAAATATAATCGTAAGTGTCAATAAGGACAACAAGCTTAAATTGTCCCCATAAAATAAATAACAAAAGTTCATTAATTTTTTATTTTAAGTAGTTGTCCCCAAAAACATATTTTCGGGAAAAGAGGCAAAAAAACGGACGGGGGAGAAAATATTGCTTGAGCGGATTCTGTTATCCCATGATTCGCAAGTAAATTTTTTTAGCAAATTTTTCCTTCATTTTTTTTCAAAGTTTGGTTTTCACTGGGAATGGATCAGGTCAGTAACCTTATGGTGAGTAACCATGAGTAACCCGTCCACATCAGCATGACATCAGCATCCTCTCTCTCATGGAAAGCCTTCAGTTCCGATCTGTTGCACTCTGCACCAACCTCCTGATTTTTGACCATGTAATGTACGTCACCGAGTTCATTAGATCTGCCTTGGTAATTAGTTTCAACCATTGTCTTCTTGATTACTTAGGTAAACGTTCATTTCCTATTTTTTTTTGGTTTTGTTTATGGATTAATTATTTTCCCATGAAGATTAATGGTTTTCTTTGTTTGCTGACATTACAGACGCAATCAAGTCCTAACCTAGATGATCAAGAATCCTTGAAGACGTTTTCGGATTGATGAATTCTTATTTATTTCATGGTTCAATGTACGGTAGTAATATTTTATGTAGTTTTTTTTTTATGAATACAATTACTTATTATACTATTCACACTCTATTTGATTTTTTTCACTAGAATGTTGGCTTTCTATTATCAATTGCATTTCCGATATATGTATTTAAGTTTCTTTCTTGGTAACCCATGCGATATAGGCATTGTCACAAAATGATTCAGTACTGATAATCATAGTCTCATCTCCGAAGACACAAGTTAGATGATCAATTGTCGCCCCATACATTGTATAAGTGACAATTGGTCGTCCCCAAAGACAAAATTAAGAGACAATTGTTCATCCCTAAAAGTAATAAAAAGGTGACAACTTGTTGTCTCTAGAGATATAGAATAACGACCACTTGTTGTCCTTAAATAAATTTTCCGGGGACGATCCATTGACTCCCATTTTACATATATAAGGCCGACATGTCGACCCTATACAGAGAAAACGGGACATCAAATTATCCCCAAAAAATCTCAACACTTTCATGAAATGGATTATAGGGTACAACCTTTGTCCCTAGAAATTATGTTTAGGGGACGACTTATGGTCACCGAAGTAAAGGTTATAGGGACGACATGGTGTCTTTTATGGAAATGAACGGGACGACAGCTTGTGAGCATCAGGCACAAATGTCGTCCCTAGTGTTGGGGACGACTTAGATTTTTGTCGTTCCCAAAAGAATAGAGGACAAACGTACAAGGGACCAAACATTAGGGACAACTTAATCGTCCCCGATATTTATGGGGACAATTTTACCTATTTCTTGGGACGATTTTTGTCGTCCCCAAATCTCTTCTTTTTTGTAGTGTTCCTCTTTCTTAATTTTTCATTATACCAAGCGTGCCTCTCCCTTCTCTTCATTAATTGTGGTTAAGTGATTTAAATGGAAAAGACATCCAAACGAAATGTTCCGATTAGCTGGAGCTAGTGTTAGCGCCATGCTAACAAACTAAGTGTTACCACCCTAGCCCCTCCCTGTTGTTAAAAACTCAAGAGTAATAACTATGCAGATGCATTTTTACCATAAAAGTATTGCCCCTAAAAAAGATTAACATCAACTTCATAAAAATAAATCTTCATCGTGACATAAACTAAGAAGAAGCCAGAAAGTGTAACTCCCAAAGGATAAACAGATGAAACAAAAGAACTATGTATACACAGCAAGCAAGAAGGAAGGAACGCACATTTGAATGCCAAACATATATGTTGAAAAAAATCAACGTACGGTTCAAGAACCAGCCTCCTCCTCTAAAATGCTAACAACCTGCGCCCTCTGCTCGTCCGTCAACTCGTCTGGGAACTCAACCAAGAACAAAACCCTGAGGCTGCCTCTCTTTCCTTCCTCCTTGGATTTCGGCATGCCTTGGCCCGGGATCAGCTTCTGGTACCCAGGATAGATGACGTCCTGGATGGCGAGGTTCATCGTCTCCCCGGAGCCGCCGATGAGCGGGATGGAGATGTCGCACCCTGTCAGCGCCTGCACCAGTGGGATCCCGATCGCGATCTCCAAGTCGTCCCCTACTCGCTGGAACAGCGCGTGCCGCTTCTCGACGATCACGAACGTGACGTCGGCCGGCTCGGACCCCAGCCGCTCGTTCCCCATGCCTTGGAATGTGATCTTGGTGCCTCGCCTCCATCCGGGCTTCACTTGGATCGACAGCGTCTCCTCTTCCTGTACGATTTGCCTGCATGCATGCATGCATGATTGATTTCCTCTACTACGTAAGCAACGTTTTTTTTTATAATATTTGTTGAAACGTGTACGTGGGGGAGCATATATAGGGAATAATACAATACACATAGCAGTCGAAATCCGGGGATTTGAAGTACATTCGAAAAATTGGAATCCTGAAATCTTAGAATTTTAAGATCCGTATAAAAATGAAGACGGAATAATATTAATAAGGAGAATCGTAAATAACACAAAAACACATAACAATTACAACGACAATTTTTCAAGGTTAATGTTCCAATTTACCAAGATGAATGCTGGGAAGTTGTGAATCGATGACGATTAATACATTGATGTAAATTGATGATGGTTGATGGTGGTTAGTGTGCGACAACTAGATGATGTTCATGGAGGAAAAGGAAAAAGAAAAGAGGCGTAATTTTGCAAATTCTATGGAAAATAAGTGAGATTAACTCAAATATTTTAATCGTAAAATTTTAAAGATATAAATCGTGAATAATGTAGAATTTTAAGGTTCACTGATTTTATAGTGAAATCATAATCGAAACATATAAGTAAAATCGTATGATTTAAATCGGAATTTTAACGGCTTTGACAATACATACCCTCGGTCAGTGAGGACGTCTCTGGTAACCTTGACCTTCTTAGTGCAACCATAGAACAACTCCTCGAGGGTGCACTCCAAGTTCTGCTGCAGCGGCGGAGGCTTCACCTTCCGGCCGGTGGAGTTGGAGAACATGATCGGAGTCGTGCTTCTCACGCTAGCGTCTCTCCTCAGCGAAGCCGTGGGCCCGGCCCCATCTTTAATAGTAGTGGTTGTTGTTGGTGTGCTTCTCTGGCTGTCGTTCCCCGTGGATGGAGGCGGGGTTGCAGCGGGGAAGGGGGAGTGGTGGTGGTGGTCGGCGGGAGGAGGAGGAGTGGCGGTGGTGGCGGCGGCGGCTTTCCGGCCGATGATGCATCGGTGGACAAAGGATAAAGGGGAGACGCTCCGCCGGCTGCTGCCGTTCTTGGAGGAAGTGGAAGGGGAGGATTTCGGGGAAGGGGAAGGGCTCCTTTTGCTTGCGATTCTGGAGAGAGGGTTTGTGATGGTTCGGAGGAAATCTGCTTCCTTCTCTTTGTTTTTTTGTTTCAATGTTGTGCCGTTGGGGGTTGTGGTTGTGGTGCTGGTGGATGGATCTGCTGCGGTGGTGGTGTATCTACAGCTGTGGATTCCATTCATTGTTGTGTTCTCTACTTGTTCTTCTTCAACCTGCTTAAAAGGAAATGATGGTGGGAGTAGATCGTTAGTTTTGGTCTCGTTTGGTTTTGTCAATAGGTGATAGTTAAATTGATAGAATGTTATCATTGCATTGCATGCATACTAATATGTATGTATATAAGAAAATTGGTGTATTATAGTTTACATCGTTTAATTTTTGTGATAGTTATTGTAGTATTTAAACAAGTTATATTACTTTTTGGATAAAATGTCACTTTTACCATTTGCTTTTAATATAAAAAAGTAACACACATGAAAATGTAGGGACATAGTTGGAAAAAAAA